ATTCAGATCATAATGACTCTAATTACTCACGAGTCTCTACATAAGCTTTACTTATATAGAATGCAGAAACCAAGTAGTTAGCATGCAATTTAGGAATAAAATCAATGAATGTATGCCTTGGAATGTAAATTTTCTCCTATTACTAGATAAAATATGCTTAAATGAATGCAATAAATGAATGTGGGATTGTTTGAGAAAAAATATCGAAATACACCATATCTTGGGTGCGGTTGTCTCGCAAGCTCCCATGAATGCATCTAAAAACCATAAAAGAATTATTAGTATATATTCAAATGAAACATAAAAATAAAATTTAATTCATTGGCTATCTTATGATCGAAATTCAGATCGAAGGGTCTCTGTTGACTTTCGAGTATCCACGTAAATATTACCTATACAAAATACATAAACAAAGTATTTAGCATGCAGTTTAGGAATGAAATCGATGCATGCATGTCTCGAGACGTGAATATGCTCCTATTACTAGATGCAAACATGCTTAAATAAAGGTAATAATGTAAGAAAAATATTTAAATACTCTCTATCATGGGTCCAGTCGTCCCGCAATGCTCCTAAAAATGCATATAAAAACTTTTAAAAGAACGATTAGTTTACAATCATAGGAAACATGAAAATAGAAGTTAATTTAATGATCTTCTTGTGTTCAAAATTCATATTGAAAGGTCTCAATTGACTTCCGAGTCTAACTTTTACCTACACCGAATAAAAAAATAAAATAGTTAACATGCAACTTAACAATAAAATTGATCAATGCATGTCCCGGAACATAACATGCTCTTATTAAAAGATACATGTAAACTTAAATGAATGCAATATATGAATACAATAATATAAGAGAAAAAGTATCAAAATACTTCGTATCTTGGGTCCAGTGGTCCCATCATACTCCCATGAATGCTTCTATTTTTTATTTTTTTTAATAAGTAGTAGTATAAATTTATAGGTTACAGGAAAATAAAATTAAATTCATTGGTCGTCTTGTATTTCAAATTCAGATCGAAGGGTCTCCGTTGACTCCCGAGTATCCATGTAAGCTATACCTATAAAAAATACCAAAAACAGGGTATTTAGCATGCAATTTAGGAACAAAATCATTGCATGCATATCTCGGGATGTAAATATACTTAAATAAAATAAAAAATCAAAGAGAAAAATATCAAAATATTCCATATCATAAGTTCGGTTATCTCCCTATACTCCCACGAATGCATATAAAAAAATTTAAAGGAAATATTAGTATATATTCATAGGTAAAATTAAAATAAAACTTTAATTAACTGACTGCCTTGTGTTTGAAATCCAGATTGAGGGGTCTTTGTTGACTCCCAAGCCTCCACGTAAGCTTTACCTACACAAAACACAAAAGCAAAATATTTAACATGCAATTAAAGAATAAAATTGATGCATGCATGCCTAGAATGTAAATATACTCCTATAACTAGATCTAAGCATGCTTAAATGAATGCAATAAACGAATCCAAGAATGCAAGAGAATTTGACATACTCGCTATCTTGGGTCCGGTAATCTCGCCATGCTCCCATGAAGACATCTAAAAATATTAAAACTAATATTAGTATATATTCCTAAGAGACATGAAAATAAAATTTAATCACTGATCGTCTTGTGTTTTAAATTTAGGTCGGAGTTGCTTTATTGATTCTCGAGTCTTCACATAAGTTTTACCAACACAAAAGACAAAAATAATGTAGTTAGTATGCAATTTAGGAATAACATCGACACATGCATGTCCCGAAATGTAAAAAAGCTCCTATTATTAGATGCAAGTATGCTTAAATGAATACAATAAATGAATGCATGAATGTAATAGAAAAAGTATCGAAATCCTCCCTATCTTAGGTATGGTTGTCCCTTCACGCTCCACAAAAATCCATCTAAAAAAATTTAAAAGAAAGATTAGTATATATTTAAAGGAAATATGAAAATAAAATTTAATTCGCTGACTGTCTTGTATTCAAAATCCAAATTGAATGGTCGTTGTTGACTCGTGAGTCTCTGCGTAAGCTTTACCTACATAGAATGCAAAAACAAAGAAGTTAACGGCAATGTAGAAATAAAATCGATGTATTCATGTATGGGATGTAGATATGCTCCTTTTACTAGATGCAAGTGTGCTTAAATGAATGTAATAAATTAATGTAGGAATGTAAGGAAGAAAATATCAAAATACTCTGTATCTTGGGTTTGGTTATCCCGCCACGTTCCCACGAATGCATCTAAAATAATATAAAAAGAGACCTAGTATATATTTCATAAGAAACATGAAAATAAAATTTAATTCACCAACTATGTTGTATTTGAAATTCAGATTGAAGGGTATTCATTGACTCCCGAGTCACCACATAAGATTTACCTACACAAAATATAAAAACAATGTAGTTAGTGTGAAATTAAGAAATAAAATTGATTCATTTATATTCCGGGACGTAAATATGCTCCTATTATTATATTCAAATATGCTTAAATGAATGCAAGAATGTAAGAGAAAAAGTGTCAAAATAATCCTTATCTCGGGTTCGTTCGTCCCCCATGTCTGCATGAATGCATCTAACAAAATATAAAAGAAATATTAGTTTATAATTATAGGAAACATGAAATTAAAATTTAATTCACTAACCTTTTTTTTTTTTCGAAATCCAGATCGAAGGTTATCGATTGACTCTTGAATCTCCACTCAAGCTTTACCTACACATAATATGAAAATAAAGTAGTTAGCATGCAATTCTTGTTGACACCCAAGCTAGCAGCATTGGTGAAAATAATCACATCATTCACATATGCGAAATGAGAGATTCGTAAATTATATTTTTATTGGAATAACATACAATCATGCCGGTCAAATAACTTTTCATGAGTTAATGTGGTTTTTTTGCAGTAGTGTGTAACGTGTAAGGAAGCTTACACGCCTGACGCCTAGGCCACGCCTGCGCTAAGGCCCACACTAGCCGTCCCTTGTGCGCAACATGTCCGAGATATACCATACAGTATGGGAGAATAATACGGAACATGTATCTGCACTAAGACATATGCCATCAATTAGCCGTACAGGACAAGGACTCGCACACATGAGACGGACTATGGCCGAGAACCTGGGGCAGGAATGTCAACCCGTGACAATACTCCCCCACTTCAAGTCGTAAACGCCTTCGTGCGATGCTACTTAAGTGTACCAACGTTGTTTCTTACACCCTCAGTATGCCTCCGGCGTCACTCTGTTGACTTTTTTCTGCATACCCTTATTCTCCGTGCTCACCAATAGCCAGCGTGGTCTTTTGCTATATACAATCCACATGCGATCCACATTCCTCCGCCACACACCATATGGGGCATCCTTTGTTGCGGCTTGTGCGATTTTCGCCCGAAGATCGTCCTTAACGTGGTTTTTTTCCGAACAAAGCTCGGCCCTCTTGGCCCTTCAGCAACGTCGAGCATACTCTCCCATCCTAGGAGTACTCTCTTTTGGAATGTCCAGCTCCCTTAGGACATGCTCATCCTTGACGTGCCACAGACATGTTCCTTCACTCGAGCAATGCCCCACTCTGTAGGTTCGTTCGCCACCAGCGTCAAGATTCGCTCTGATACTATATGTAACGTGTCCAGAAGCTGACACGCGCGCATTGAGGCCCAGACCAGCCGTCCTCTGTATGCAACACGCCCGAGATATATCATATAGTATGGTAGAATAATGCGGAACACGTACTTGCACTAAGATATATGCCATTAATTAGCCGTACAAGATAGAGGCTCGTATACATAAGACTATAGCTGAGAACCTGGGGCAGGAATATCAACCCGTGGCTCTGGTACCATTCCACTATTAGTTTGTTTATAATTCTCTCAAAGGTGTATTACAAATTTATAAATTTTAACACATCAATTATTTCGAGATAAAGTAATACTACAAGACCTACCCAAAGGAGTTTGTTTCCACGTGTAGTAGACTTACAATTGCTACTTAGTTGTGCCTGTGAGAGCATGTGTAATGATCTTTACATTGACGATCTTCTTTCTGCAATCAAAATTTTTTGTCAAGTTTACGTAAAAAAAAAAACAAATGTTTTCAGTGACTTAATTTTTGAAATGAATATTTGGAGTCATAATAGAAAAGCTTCGTGGAGTCGGGGCCTCACCTCGCCAAACAGTGAAAGAAAAGAGAAATAATTGTGTACTTTTTCATTGTGAAATACTTGATTTAAATATATATTCATTCAATTTAATTTTTATTGTCCTAAAGTATATTTGTACGGTTTTTTAGGTGATTGTCTTTTTGTTATGAATTGATATATTTATTCTTAATTATATGGTGATTAAAAGTAATAAATAAATGAATGGTAAAAATATAAAATTTGTGTTTAAAAAAAATAGGATAATAATTGTTTAACGTGCCAAACAAAAAAGTAAAATACTCCCTCAATCCCGGAACTAAATATCAATTTGCTTTTTGCACGTAGTTATAAATATTAGTATTATATTGAGATAATAGTAGGAATAAAGTAGAAATGATTAAAATAACCTTATTAGTATGTGTGATATAAATGTAATGACATTTGTGTAATATATTGTAAATTGTAAGGGTATTTGTAATGTTAGGTAGATAGTATAGTTACTTAAAAAAATGGATACTTTGTTATAAAACGGACTAAAATGAAAAAATGGATACTTTGTTATGGGATGGAGGGAGTATTATAATATAGACAGATGAAATATATATTTTATATATATATAGATGATTGGGTCACGTAATAATTGAAGCTTCTTAATAGCGATAACCATTGCATTGACCTGCCCTCATCTGCCCTGCCCTGCCCTGCCCAGCACAGCACACAGCACACATCACAGCACAGCACTTTGATCGATCTTGTCACGTCATCTCTTATCGTCCTCTAATTGATGCTGATGCATACATACACGTGACATACAAACATACTCCTTCCTATATCTAAATAATATTTTATTTATTTATTATTATTATTTTTGGCGCACAGATAGCCATAGGCGCAACACATTCCATAATTTGGTGTATCCCTTCCCTCTGAAATCCGAATTGCTTACGGCCTCGGTTACTGCTTTTGGGGCAGTTATTGCCCTCGGATCAACCACCGTCGTGGCATACATTCCCGAGGTTTGGCCGTTTTGTTTTCCTGAACGAGCTTCCAGGCCTCGGGGGATCCAATTGAGAGGTTTGCTGGCTAGCTGGCTGGCTATCAATTTACTCTACTTTTGCTTGTTTCGGTTTATTGGAGCTGCTTTTTGTTCAGTCAGTCAATATTTGGTGATGCTAGATTGATTTAATCTCTAGGTGTTCGATCATCAATATTCGGTCGGTTATTGGTGATTGGCCGCTGGGATGTCGGGGCACTTGGACAGATTCGCGAGGCCTTGTGAGTTATTTTCGCTCCCTCGATTGAATTTTGGTGATTTGCATCGACGTTTAGCTACATGCGGTTTTACCTGGAATTAGGGTATAATTTTCTACTGAATTTATGAACGAAAAGTGGGAAACATAATTGATGTCGATAGTTTACATTTTGGCGTCTTGTTTATATGTTTGGTTGAAATTCTCTTACCTAGGGCTGGGTTCGATGTCCTTACCGGTTTCACCTTGTTCCTTGGGTTGTTTTTTGCCATAATTGTTGTAGTTTGGTGTAAGAGTTGAATTGGTTATCAAGTGTTATTGTTGGCTGATGTTCTCCCAGCAACGATTGCAAATTATGTCATTCTTCGCCTTTCTGTTCACATTTGTACATGTTTGCAAGCTTGTATCTTTATATTACAGTATTGCTACTTTTACATTCAGCCACGGGAGAATTTCTTGAAATTTAGCTGCTGAGTTTGTCAAGATTTTCTTATCCATGTTTCATGTCATCATGTGTGGTAGGATCGCCATGCTCTCAGTGTTGATTTTTGATGATATGAAGTTACTCTTGCACTTGCTCACAAAGTAACGTCGCATTATGATTTTAAATTTAAAGAATGCTGATTTGATGCCTTTAGAAACCTCTATGTGCAATAGAACTGAAAATTTGCAAATATCAAAATAACTATTACCCTGTGCTTTCACTAATTTTGGATGGAGTGCAGGCTTTGAGGGATTATCTGGTAATGATGAGAAGAAGGAACGGAAGTCTGATGTTGAGAATTCGGAGGATGAAAGAAAGACAAGGATAAGTTCTCTAAAGAAGAAAGCGTTGAACGCATCTTCAAAGTTCAAACATTCTCTCAAGAGAAAGAGCAGTAGAAGAAAAAGTGAGTGCCGACAAGCGAGTTCAGTTTCAATTGAAGATGTCAGGGACGCTGAGGAACTCCAAGCTGTCGAGTCATTTAGACAAGCCTTGATTTTGGAAGAGCTGTTGCCAGAAAAGTTTGATGATTACCATATGATGTTAAGGTCAATCTTCTTGATTCCTGTTGCTTTTAGTTCAATTCACTAATGTCCTTTTTTAAGCTTGATGTTTACTAGAAACATTGATAGAACAAAGGTTATATCAACATTATCATGTCCTAAAAGTAGATTCCCAAACCCACTAGATGAACCAGAAGTCTAGGGAAAACGTTGTACTTTATTAGAAATATTCAACCTGAGAAGTTGTCTTATACAACATGTTCACCACAGCCTAGAAGGTTTTACAACCTAGTTTCCTGCTCCAATTCAGGTGTGCATTAGAGTTTTTCATTTATATTCATGATTTGTGATTTATCATCATCATCATGGATCATCACCTTTTAATAATTTCTTAAAAGTTCTACCTGGAGGTGAGTTTTATAATAAAGCTTCACTTCATTTATAAGTCAGAAACTTGCATGCAGGTTTCTAAAAGCAAGGAAATTCGACATTGAAAAGTCAAAGTGCATGTGGGCTGATATGATTCAGTGGAGAAAAGAATTTGGTGCTGACACAATTCTGGAGGTAAACCTTATCTAATGTGCAAGTTATTTACTTATTGTTCAGAACTTTTTTGTTTCAGTTTTACTTGTTCTTACTTTTTCAACTTTAATTGGAAACTTTCTCTTAATTTTTGAATTTTGTTTTACTGTCAGGAATTTGAATTTGAAGAGTTGGATGAAGTTTTGAAGTATTGTCCCCATGGCTATCATGGAGTTGATAAGGAAGGAAGGCCTGTATACATTGAGAGACTAGGGAAAATTGACACTAACAAACTTATGAAGATAACGACTATGGATCGCTACATAAAATACCATGTAAAAGAATTTGAGGAGGCTTTTGCTGTTAAGTTTCCAGCTTGTACCATTGCTGCAAAAAGGCACATTGATTCAAATACAACAATCTTGGATGTTAATGGTGTGGTATGTTTATTACACGTTCAGTTTGTTTGCTACTTGTTACAGTTTGAAACTTATCAGCTTTAATCGATGTGGATTATTTGATTTCTGTTGTATATTCCTGATTAATATACAGGGCATGAAAAATTTTACCAAGAATGCACGAGACCTTCTTATTCGACTCCAGAAGATTGATAGCGATAATTATCCTGAAGTAGCATTCCAGATTCTTAACTTGGTCATATTATGTTGCTCTAAATATCCAGCCAAGTAAATCACACCATCTCTTGTATGCAGACACTCCATCAAATGTTTATAATTAATGCGGGCCCAGGTTTTAGGCTACTGTGGAATAGCGTAAAGGGTTTTCTAGATCCCAAGACAACTTCCAAGATTCATGTGTGTTGGTTTTTAATTTCCATATTTCTTAAGCTTAACACTATTCTGTTGATTTACTTGCTGGAATGTGAAGTTATAATTCTGCTTGTACTTTTGGTCCTAGGTTCTTGGAAATAAATTCCAGAACAAGTTGCTTGAAGTTATTGATGCCAGGTGAAAGGGGTGTATGCATCTGTTAACTTGCTCCTGTTCAACAAGTGTTTCAATCCTTCTGTTCATGCCTTAACATGTTTAGTCTCAACAGTGAATTGCCAGAGTTTTTAGGGGGGACATGTACCTGTGTCGGTCAAGGTGGTTGTCTTCGCTCTGATAAAGGACCTTGGAAGAATCCAGAGATAATGAAGGTACTGGGTGATGTTGATTATATGATTCCCATGCTATAAACCCTCAGAATTCAAATCGTGGTTTATTGCTTTTCTTATTAATGTAGATGGTACTAAATGGTGAAGCAAGACGTGCTACACAGATTGTTAAAATTATCAGCAGTGATGGGAAGGTTGCATATGCAAAGCCTGATTACTCCATGGCATGGCTGCTAACCTACAATTTTCCTTACATTGCTGGCAAATGTTTAGTTTTATCTAATAGTGATCTTGATTGCCTGAACAGGTAAAAGGCAGTGATACATCTACAGCGGAGTCTGGTTCTGAAGCTGAAGATATTACTTCACCGAAAGCTTCTAAAACTTACTCAAACCTTCATTTGACACCGGTTCATGAGGAGGTATGATGTATCATTGCTTATTATAGACTCCTTATTTGCAGTAAATTTAACGGTTGCTTTGGCAAGTTGGTGTGTTTCTTCTTGCAGACAAAAAAGAAAAAGAAAAAGTTGGTGTGTATCTTTTAGGTCTGAATTTGTTTGGAGGTTTGGATTTTGATTTAAATAATATTTGATGTGATGTTTTGCGAGATGACAAAAAGTTTTTTTTTTTTTTTTATATGGTAACATGGAGTCCAAATAAGAAAAAATTCGATAAGAACTCAAAAGATACACCTTCCCTAAGGGAAAATATTCCAGAATGATGTATTTCCATAAAAAACACTTTTTAAAGTGTTTTTAAGTGTAGGGTGTAGAATGCTCAATAACCTAGGGGTCTATTACATACAATTCCTAACCTCTTTAAGATATCATACTCAATATCTATTTACATCACATCTAATATCTATTTTTTATTCGAACTCTTTTTAATATTCCAAAAAATTATTACATTACACCAAAACTTTAAAAAACTTCTATCTAAATGGAGCCCTGATTTTTCAGCGATACAGATTGAACTTTACTTGAGCTTCATTTGTCAGTTGATAGATCAAACCTCTTAATAGTGAGCTTTTAGCATCTTTTGATTAGCGGTGCCAACTAAAATGTGATGCATACAGGTGTTGTCTAGCCCAGGTTGAGTCTCTCAGGATTAGTTAGTATTCTACTTGGGTTACGATTATTTTTACAAATATGTCTCTCATTTGCTATTTATTTTGATTTAGTTTTACTCTTAGCACCTATAAATAAATCGCCATTATTAGGGCTCGGGTTATGTTATCCTGCGGGATGAAGCAGTAAGTTTATGAAGGTTTTTGTAAAAGTCTTAAAACTTGGAAAGTTCCCTTGAATTGGTTTTAATAATTTGATGACATGCTGGACTCCTAAACACTACGATACATGATTGTTAAGATTTGTTTCCAACAAAGTGATTCTCGAATGGATTGGATTGAGGAAAATGGCTATGTAGTCACGGTTGCATTTGAAAAAGCAAGTAGATAGGGTTTTGGAATCGCTGGTGGCCTTAACAACATATATGTAGATGACTGTAGTGACACCTACCACAACCGCTACCTTGACTGTGCCGACCTCAGCTGTTCAGGAGTCACACACCACAGCATCTGCTGGAGGCCTCAAGGCAGCGCTGCCTTTATTTTCTTATTCAATTGTTCTTAATAAATTGTTAAGTTAGTTAGGCCTCGGCCTGGAGTAGTTTTGACCTAATATTTAAGAATTATTTGAGATACTATTAGTCATTCTGATTTCGCTTCAGTTACACGGCTTCGGCTTGGTTCGGAAAAAGTAGTTTTTCCTTGGTTATTAGACCGTCTTCAACCCATTCTGTAAAAATAACAATTTTATTATTTTTGGAGGGTGGGTTCTCCAATCCACCCGGCAAATTTGGGGTTGTCACCCTCTCTGATGAGAGGGTGAGGCAAAATTCCTCTCATGCGAGAGAGGTGACTTTTTTATTTATTGTTAAATCTTATTTTAATTTAAAATTAATTAAAAATTATTTTAAAATTGTATTTTTGTTTATCTATTTTATTTTTTTTATGATTTTTATTTTATTACTTATAAAGTAAATTATTTTTTTATATTAATATTTTAATTTTATAATTAATATATTTTATATATTTTATATATTATATTTAATCAAATATGTTATATATTTTTATTTCTATTTTTCATAAATGTTATTTCATAATATGGAAATTTTAATTTATTTAATTTAAAAATATTTATTATTTTTTAAGATTAAATAATAATAAAATTAACTTAATTTATTAATATAAATATTTAAAATATTTTAATTAAGTATATAAAAATAATAAAATATTTGATGTTATTTATAAATTTAAAAATTTATAAAAATATATGTATAAAATAAAATATAGAGAGAATATTATTTGACCCTGGGTATGATTGGAGATGAATCAAAAATAGAGATAATGGCTGAAGATGACTTGCTGTATAACCTCCCGCAAAAATGGAGAAATTTGTGATAGTCCTGCAAAAATAGAAGTATGGATTGGAGATGTCTAAATAAAGTTTAGTTCTTTGGTTTTCCGAAGTCCTAGTGCTATCAAAATGAAACCTTTGTGGTTCTTCTAGCTGAAAATGGTCAGACTTATCAGCATTAGGCACAAGGCAGTTCCAGAGAATGAAAGGGTGTCTGATGTATAAAGGTGGAGTCCACTCTTCGGTTGAATCCTCTTAGGATACTTAGAATTCTACTTTGGTTGAGATTAGTTTTAGTATTCTACTTTGATTATGATTAGTTAAGTTCCTTAATTCCTATTTTTCGTGTTGCATATAAATAAACCGCTAAGTATTAAAGTTTGGGGTTATGTTTTCTTTTGGAGGAAGCATTGAGAATATAGATGTGTGAACATTTTTGTCTGAAAACTAGGGCTTGGAAAATCTACACCGAAAAAAATCAATACCAGTGTGTTTAACCAGAATCAAATTATTATAATGCTTAAATTATGATGTTTACTATACTAAATACGAAGAACTTTATTGAGGTCCATTTGGTTTGATGGATTTGGATTCGAAGGTTGATTTTAAATGAATGGATTCGAAATACTTCATAACTAAAATCCATTATTTGGTGGAGGAAGTATTTAAAATGTAATTGTATAAACAATATTTGAAATTTTAAAGGTAATGGATTTTAAATCCACAATCAATTTTGAAGACTTGAAATCCATTGCTTTGCCAAACAAAATTAATGAATTTGATTGAATCGTTTGAAATACATTTAACTCAAATACATCCAACCAAGCGGGGTCTAATAAGAGAGTCCCAACAGTGTGTAGTTTTTGTTGGATTTGGTGATGAAGTCCAATTTGTCTCTCTCTTGCACTATCTGATAGTCTCTAACTTTAATCCAGTGCTTGTCTGCAGTAGAACTTCATTGACCCAGTAGTCACATCCTGCACTCTTGTTGTTAGCATCGGCAAATGACTAATTATAATATTATGGCTTGATTTAGTTTTACCATTTGTACTTCTGTTGAGAATTTTAGCTTAAGAGTTAATGGAAACTAAAAATATATATATATCTATATATATTTCCCTACAATACAAAAAGAATTATACTATTTGTAGGGTATATTTACCCCACCAGAAACCTAAGTTATTAAAGGTAATAACTCCTATTTAAATAGAAATATGAGCACTTAGATTACTATTAAATCAATGACACTTCATTTTTAACTCCCATACAATTCACTGGGTTTATAATATTATAGTATTACTTACAAAGTTACAATTTAAATGAACTCCTCCCGCCAAAATAGGTTTCTTAAAATAGGGCAGAGGGTGTATTGTTGCTGAAGCACAAGTAGCTTTAAATTATTATTGGCCTTGATTATTCTTAAGGAATATTCTCATCCGTATGTCAGGCTAAGGCTATGGGACCTGCTCGCAGTGCTGGCAACATTTCAGGATTTGATGAATTTATTCCGGTAGTTGACAAGGCTATTGATCCTGGAGGTTGATCTTCTACTATTGCTTTACTTATTTTTATTTGTGTGTATATTTACCGAATTATTATTTTTAGTTTTTGTCTGTTTTTCTATCTACAGTTTTCTGTTCTCAGATTGTAACTCTCTGTATGAATATTTTCATTCAGATGTATTTCAGTCACCTGATTCTTGCAAGGTGCCCGGAGGACGCGGCCAACTTTTACCAACTCTTATCGCCTTCTTCATGGCCTTTATCTTGGCTTTACGATCGACCATATTGTACCTTACAAAGAAACTTCATAGCGCACCATCGCAGCATGTGCAAACAAATATCAACTCTGCCTTTGATCCAAATTCCAAAGATGTTAGACTGCCCTCATCCAGATCATCTTTTACCGAATCAGAATTCCGGACTTCCGTGCTGCAGAGGTTAGGCGAGCTCGAAGACAAGGTCTATACTCTTCAGGCTAAGTCCTCGGAAATGCCCCATGAGAAAGAAGAGCTGCTCAATGCTGCAGTTTACCGAGTGGATGCCCTAGAAGCAGAGTTGATTGCCACCAAGAAGGTAACGTAACCACCCCTCTTTATACTGGGCTTAATATTTCAATATATGGATGGCTACATTTTGTGTCTAATCAAGAATTTGGCCGTGATCACTTGAACTAATTACCATATGCTTGTTTGATAATTAATCTTTTGTGCTCATCTGCTGCTGCCTGCATCCAGTTTGATTACTCTTTTGTTATTTTTATGTCTTTTGCTCAAATGAGTAGGCTCTGCACGAGGCCTTGATGAGGCAAGAGGAACTTCATGCTTATATTGATAGTCGAAGAGAAGCTAAGTTTCATGTAAGTGCACATCTGGTGTTCATTTATTTTACTAGAATTCTTGGATTTCAACATTTTAATTGAGTTTCTTTACCTGGATGATGTTCAGAAGAAGAAATTTTGCTGTTAGCGGCACATGCGGAAAATGTTGCTGCCTGCTTCTATACGGGTAAAAATTTTAAAATTAAAATAAAATCCATGAATATGTGTATATACATGTGTTTGTGCGTGGTTTCACTCTTTTTACGTTTGTTTTGGTTTGAAATATGCATACACACACAGACACACTCAGTTCTGTTCTACTTAACGTTTAGTTTCTCGTTTAAATTACACTACGATTGTATGCTCACTTCTTTTTGTCCTTGGCTTTGTACTTCAATTAAAATAAGTGTATATGTACTCTTGCATGCTTACTCACAAAATCGTGATACATCCAGTCGAATCTGATTTAAGTTATTTCTTCCTAGTAAGAAATAAATACACTTTACATAAATAATTTAAGGGTAAATTATATAACATCCCTTTGTGTTTTAATAAAAATGCATAAAATATTCTGTGTTTTATTTATTGCGTGAACCTCTCGTGTTAATGTAAAGTTTGCACGAAATATTCTTATTGTTCAAAGCTTATGTTTGGCTTCAAATAAAGACCTAAATTGCATAAGTTTTATACAAATAAAAAACGTAAAATATTTTAAATATTTTTTTTGAATAAAATGAATAAATAAATAATTGATTAATCATTTATTTTATAATTTTTTTTAGAAAAATTGTTATTTGATTTTTACAAAAATTATAAAAAAATAATTGATCAATTATTTATTTTGTTCAAAAAAAAATATATAAGATATCTTACGTTTTTTATTTGTATAAAATTTGAGTAATTTATGTCTTTGTTTAAACCAGACATCAGTTCTGGACAACAAGGAAGGTGTTTCGTACAATAAATAAACCATCTATTTTATGCATTTTTTACTAAAATACAAAGGAGTTATAATTTACTCTATGCATCCAACACAACACAAAAGTTTAGAAAGAAACAAACACACCACCACCACCTTGCATAACATATACTCCCTCCGTCCTGGTCATAACAGTATTTTAATTAGTGGAGTTGTATAAGAGGTTTTGATATTTTTGTCTTTGACTTTATGTAAAAATTAATTTTATGTATAATGGTACGTTTGTAGTTTAGATAAAAGAGTTAAAGGGTATTTTGATATTTGTGTATGATTATTTTTACTAAAATAGAAAATAAATACTTTGAAATGAGACAGACTAAAATGGTAAAAAAAGTACTTTCAGTTGGGACAAAAGAAATACTATAATTCAAACACATCCGACATAAAAAGGCTGTATGCATATGAATCACTGCCAACATCATACAACACACCATATGCATTATCTACATATTATTTTACTGACCATAACTTTCATACCTTTCTTATAATATATTTTTCTCTTAACTTTCAATTTCTTCTCAATTTTCTGCCTCGATATTTTGTTTTGTTGTCATGTGACTTGAAATTGAACGCAAATTCAATCAACTTAATTTAAGATAGCTGCCGACATACGCATCCATATGACAAAAATCTAGGGGCTGCTGTTGTGCATGTTGTTTGATTATTGCTAGATTAGTTTGTTTTCACTGCCAAAGTTATTTTATTTTTTTTTTCCTTGTTTTTTTTCCGGTGCTTCTCAATCATTTGATCAGAATTATTTTTTCAAGCTGTTGTAATATTCAATTTAAAAATAATTGGATTGTTGGTGAATTTGTTTGGCCTTTGATTTCATATTGTATTTGAAAATGTTTCATCTTCCGCTGACTCATGGAATTATTGTCGTCCCTATATAAGAATATGGGGATATATCCAGAACCACATAAATTATGTCAGTTTAACTTTTTGTATTATATTTGGATTATAGTATCGTATTTGTGCTGTAAATTTGCAACAAATTGAAGCCGGAGCTATTGGTTTTTTTTGAGTTGTTTAGTTGTGTAGTCATTTGGTTTGAGTTAACTCTGACTATTATGAAGAAGGTTAAATATGGTATAATAATAATTAAAAAAAAAAAAAATTGATAGCTAGAGCACTATTAGATTATGGTCGATTAAGATATGTATTTCATTCTTTCATTCGGATTTATTGAGGGTACTAGTAGGAAAAGAGATATTGTTTGAAATAAAGTCCAATCAAGAAGCTATTGGTGTAATAGTAGAGGATCATTTGATCACAGTATGATACTTTGTTCGAGTTACTATTTATCATACATGTCCCAAAAAGAAGGGTATTAGGTAGTTAATGGTAGCGTTGCTTTGATGGGATATAATGTATCTTTGTAAAGTGAATAGAATATAGACTGTTTTAGGTCCGACAAAGCAAGTCACACTAGGCGTTCGGGGTTTGAACCCATGACCTCACGGTCACGAGTCCATCCCCACACAAGTATGTTAGAAGAGGTTGGTTGTTGTGTAAGTTCTTTGATTGTTGTTTGTCGTCTAGCATGTTGCAATTTTATATATTAGCGGTAATTATATTGTTGGTGCATTTGGTTGGTCGTCTATTGATTAGTTGGACATATATTGTGTATGAAATCTCTTGTTAACTAGTAAAACTATTATACCATGTTAGTAGACGTAGGAATTTATTTTGAATCATCTAATTTTGTCTCTTTAATCATGTTAGTAGACGTAGGAATTTATTTTGAATCATCTAATTGTCTCTTTAATCTTCTGCATCATTTTTGAATTAAAATTTTATCATATTTGTCCGTAAATTCACAATAAGTTAAGATCAAAGCTGATAATGACACTATTCAGCATTTTTTTCTACATGCCAATTTGAATATATTTTTGTATTATTATGTCTTCCTAATTTGGTATTATTGAATCTTCGTTTACATTCCAAGCTTTTTATTCCAAGCACTTCTACTTCATGTGTCTTAATTTTCTTTTTCCATTTGTTTTTATCATTATTACATGAGTGACTGTAAGCCAGTTGGTCAGTGTTAAACAGCATATTATTTATTGGATTTAATGTGTAATTTAATGATTAATATTACATTATGGAGGTAAAAGGTCATTTTATATCGAACACAGATACTATCACATTCTTCTTTATTTCCCTTCAATCTCTCTTTCCTTTGTTTCTATTTCTTCCAAGTTATTCCATAAAGACGACTGTATTCATTAATCAATTTTGATTACAATTATTCCAGACAATTAAGATTATTGAAGAATAAAATACATAAACACAGCAGATAATACACAATAAATAAACACTTATGTAAGTGCATTCCAAAAAAAGTTGTTGTCGCAAAAAATTGACTTGTACAGGCTAACCAATTTAGACCTGTCGGAATCAATATCGAATAGGTTCCTCATTTTATTCAAGAAAGCGTCTGGACATCAATTCTGCCGGTTCGAGGGTGCTTGCAAATTCAGGGATATCAATTCTAATTCCAAATTCCCAATTGAAGCATGGGTTGTGGCTGGATCAATTGGAGCAAATGGATTATCAATTGAATGGGTATTTTCATCCATTGACTCAATGTTGGAGGCATCAAGGGCAATTGGAGCACAATCAGAGGGCTGATCGTAGGCTCACGGCGGCGGGGCTGGACATCCACGGCGGCTGCATCACTGAACGCGGCTTGATTGTTACACAGAGGGGTGACTTCCATCGTTAAATCGGCAATTTGATGATGCATCTCCGCAATAGCGTGGGCGTTGGCTGGAGGGGGACGTCACGAGGACATCGTTCAAGAGCATCGTCTGACTCTGATACCAACTGATGTAATGAAAATCAAGAGCAAAACAATAGAGAAATTTAGTTCTTTATTCAATTCTTTTGTAGCCGTAAGAATGGAGAACATAGATATATATATATCTCTATTCAACAAGATTCCTAAGCAAATTATTAAAAGCCCAAAAATAAAATAAGATAAAAATTAAATAAAACAAAGGCCAAACTACTTAAGTTTATTTATTTGTTGAACTCGGTCATATTTTCAATGAATGCCATTACGATCTCATCTTCATCACATAGATGCCCCAACACGGACTAGTTTTTGGAGCTCGATTGAAAGCATATATTGAAAATTTACAAGGCTTAATAAATAAATTGGAAGATCAGAGTACAATTGAAAGACCATGTTACAATGTTCACATAGTCTTTGATGGAGTCTTTGATGGATTACGTAGATCGAGTGTCGTAGTAGTGAAGGCCACGTTGGAGCTTGAAATGTGTCATTCGGATAACTAAGCAAGGAGTTGTGCAACACTAGAAGTATGCTAAAATAGATGTTCTAGATTATTATTACATAAGTCTAGGATTGCATATGCATAAATGGTGGAACATCTCTTAGGACCACTTATGTAACACCTTTGTCGGCTCAAGTCGGAGTACCACCGTCACGCCACACCGAAAGGGTCATTCATTAACTAATGAACCTCACGTTATAACGCTAAGGCTAAAATATACAACACAAACAACTAAATAGAAACTTAAAAGATAAATCACACTAACTTATTATATTAATGAATAAAGTTTGAGTAAAAAACATAAGACTAGAATTAGTTCAAAAATATCAATTCTTAAAACATTAGTAGTAAATTCAAAAGCATCATAATAGATGAAATAATTCTATTCCCCTTAAATGGATCATGCGACATGAATGTATTATTTAAACTTATGTGGAGCACCATCACCTACAAAATTTTTTAGAAAGATGATCAACATGACTGTTGAGTAATCACAATGAATCAAAGATAAATTAATATGGTATATGCCAAGACTCACATGCTAATACCACACAATCATTTGGAAAAGATAGATTAAGTAAAATTATACATAACACATAATGGAAACTCACACACACAAGTTTTTTAATGCCCAGTTATGTCTCCCTTTTATTCTTAAATAATTGTGATAAATATATTACGAAAATAACACCTTTAGGCCTTAATTAGGACTATATCAACCTGGGTCTCCAACCTTAATTACTTCACTTGACACATCACATAAATTCACATAATAAATATAGGATCATAATACTCAAAGAGCTTCATAATTGGTACATAAGGGTTCAAGACACAAAGTACGCGTATGACAACTTATTTTTTAGCTTGCGAGAGACGCACAATAGTCAAACCCTCTAGTCTCATACATAACATATCAAGAGAGAATCATACACAATCCATCTCTTCATTACAGATGATGGTCTAAAGTGCATTACATCGTAGATAACATGTACGTCATAATCAACCAAAAAGAAACCTATCATCTCGATGCCACGGCCTAGCCCATTCAAGTTCTAGTTCGAGCTTAGCTAGTTATCCTAAAATACCAGTATATTCTTTCATGTTTGCAAGGCACAAAGGTGGAAGATTACGCCTTATCATACCATACGATCGACGAGTTGATTTGACTCAACGAATAGTTTCAATTAACAATTTGACTCAATACACAACATACGATTAGGCACATTTTAATAAAATGGATTTCAACTTGTAAAATCTCATTTACAAATATTTAGCAAATAACCAATAAAAAGCATCGATCAAGAATCATGATTTGCAACATAAGCGAAATCTAAACAAACATTTTCAAGTTTGCTCATAAAATACTTTTCATTTATCAACATTTTCATTTAATAGCTAAAGTAAGAATGATAATATTCAACACTCAACAAATTCATTAAAAATCTCATAGTCCCTCCCCCGTCTCTTAACAAAGTATACATTTATTTTTTTGCATCATTGTACTTAACACTAAATATATTTTTATACTTTTATAATATTTTATACAAATATCATTGTATTTGTATTATACAACACTAATAGATGTATATATAAATATAATATTAATATTCAAAGTTTGACACGCAAAAAACAAATGAATACTTATTTATGTGACGAAGGTAGTATTATTTTGTCAAATAAACATTTGGATAATATGTCTATTTAAGAAATATAATCTAACTCCAAAAATGATACTCCCTCCGTCCCAAACACCCTGCAATATTTCTTTTTTGGTATGTCCCAAACACCCTGCAATATTTCCTTTTAGGTATGTCCCAAACACCCTACAATATTTCCTTTTTGGAAATAATTAATTATACTTAATCTCTAACCCGCACTTTATCCCCTCACATCATCCAAATAAAAAATAAAATATATATTTCTCTCTCTATCACATCACCTAATTTCTAAATTATTCTGCTTAATACTACCCACCTAAAAACCCGTGCCAAAAGCAAATGTTGCACCTTGTTTGGGACGGAGGGAGTAATATTTAAAGATAATAACAAACTCTTTTGCAAAAACTATAAACTAGGTTATGGCAAAATTAGAGTTTCTAACTCATATCACAAATCCTACATTTTTCAACTTAAAACACCACAATAATCTCCACATAAGCCCTAAAGAACTTCCTATTAAGAAAATAGTAAAATCTAATACTTTTAGAACAAACTCATTTGAAAATAAATTTAAAAAACTATCACATAAAATCAAAAATAAATCTAGAATATATATCATATTATTTAACTAGGATTCATCCTACATACTTTGGAAAAAGAGACCAAGAAGATAACATTTGGAGAAAAACTTCCAAAGGGGAAGAAGAGGCGGTGTGTGGAGGCTGGAGAGAATCGGAACATGCTGGAATATAATATTCCTGCTCTTTATGCTTTGAATAAAATAGACATCGGCCAAAACTATTTTATTTTTATAATTCTCTTGGGCCCAAAATAGCCAAAACATCAACACTTCTAATTTTAATCAAATTCCTTCATCAAATATACCAAAAGCCCAAAAATAATATAAAATTTTCCGACTCCGGTAAGTTTTGGAAAACTTCCAAAAATTATTTTATAGGGTATTACATCCTCCCCTTTAGGATATTTCATCTTCGAAATCAATTTGCACACCAAGAGCTTCCTTAAACAACTTCACATACTTTTTTCGAATATCTTGTTTAGTTACTCATGTTGCTTTTTCGATCACGTGTTGTGACCACATTATTTTCACCATCCTTATCTCATGGTTCTATGTCGATCTAACTTTGAAAGTTAAAATCTAAATAGGTTGTTCTATACTAAATTCTCTTGAAGATCCAAAACTTCTGGCTGAAATATATAGGATGGATTAGCCACGTACCTTCTCAACTGAGAGATATGAAAAACAATGAACCTTTTTCAATGTCTCCGACAAAGCCAACCTGTATGCTACTTCTCCAATCCTTTCGATGATCTCGTAAGGCCCCGTATACCTCGGGCTCAATTTTTCCTTAATACCAGATCTCTTCACATCCTTTCTCGATGTGACCTTGAGTAATACATGATCGTCTACCTCAAAATGCCCATCTCTCTGCGGAAAGTCACTTAGCTCTTATGAAGATCTTGACCGGCTTTCATCTTAGCTTTGATGCTACAAATATGATTCATCATCTCATCAATCATCTTAAGTCCCAATACCACTCTTTCGTTTAGGTCATTCCAATACAATGGGATCTACAATTTCTCCCATACAAAGCCTCAAAGGGTGTTATCCCAATGGTTATTTGATAACTATTATTATAGGAGAACTCCACCAATGCTAATTGATCCTCCCATTGACCTTGAGAATCCAACGCATATGCTCATAACATATATTCTAAAATTTGAATAGTGCATTCATCTACCTATCGGTCATTGGATGAAAGGCAGTGGTTCTCCTTAATTGAGTACCAAACTCTTTTTGAAGCTTCTACCAAAAGTGTGACTGGAAGAGAGGGTCACGATCCGAAACAATCACCTCCAAAACTTCATATATTTTCACTGCATGCTGCATATACAACCTTTTTCAACTTTTGCATGCTTTAAGTCATGCTTATTGAAATAAAAATTGCTAGTTCTGTCAATCGATCAACAACCTTCCAAATAGTATCCACGCCCAATCTCAAATTGGATAATCCGATCACAAAATCCATGGAAATCGAATTTTATTTATATTCTGGAACCTCAAAGGGTCTAAAAAAACCCATAGGTCTCTTATGCTCCCCTTTGACCTTTTGATAGTTCAAACACTTGGAGACATCCTCCGCACTGCATCTTTACATACCGCGCCACAAAAAATGTCCTTTCAAACTTTATACATTTTATCACAATCCGCATGTACTAAATATGGGGAACTATGAGTTTCTTTAACTTCTTCTTAATATACAATCGACCTCTTGGCATACACTACCTATTTCAAAATTTTAGATTTCCATCCTAGCCAATATAAAAATCCCTTACCTCGCCTTGTTGCATCCTCATCGCCAAGTCGACTAAGTCATCATTGTTGAGCTTCTCAAATCTCCCTCAAAATCTCAGGCTCAATTGACAAGGTGCCCATGTACCCTTCAATCACCTCAGACCCACTCCCTCAATATGTAGTTTCTCGCCTCAGACCCACTCCCTCAATATGTAGTTTCTCGAACTTGTGACACAACTCTATGAGTAATTTTATTGAACATACATCATGACTTGACTTCCGACTCATATCATCAGCAACCACGTTTGTCTTACCTTCCTGATATAAAATCTCTAAGCTATAGTTATTCACCAACTTCAACCATCTCTATTGCCTCATATGATCGGTAAATGTAGTGTTGCCATATCTTAAGAGAACACTACACTTGCCATTTCCAAATTTTCAGATAGTTTTCTTCATGCAATTTGAGCTACCTTGACGCATATGCTATCACCCTTTCATCTTACATTAAAACACACCTCATTCATCGTGTTGATGCATCACAACAAAAAAATGAACATTTTATCTGGAATGAATGGAGTATATTTAAGATTGGATAATGTGATTTTTTCTATTTTTAAATTTATTTTCTAAAAGT